GCGGGCCCGCGGTGCGGACTCGAGGGGCGAGCGCGGCGCACCGGCCCCGTGCGTGGGCCTCTCTCCTCTGCCCCCTCAGGTGCCCGCGGCGCACCTTGCCCAGCGCTCGCCCTCCTCCCGCCGCCGGCTTCCTGCCCCCACTTTCCCGTCCCTGCGCTCTTCCGACCCCGCGGGCCCAGGAGGCAGGGTCATGGGCTGCTCCCTTCCTCCCTGCAGGCGGTGACCGACACCTCCCCCTGGGCCCAGAGGAGGGGCAGCCATGTCTGCTGTGGGGGCAGCGGCGCCGTACCTGCACCACCCTGGAGACAGTCACAGTGGCCGAGTGAGTTTCCTGGGGCCCCAGCCCCCCCGCGAGGTGGCGGCGATGGCCCCACTCCTGGCCGACTTGGACAGGGGTACATTCCGTAGGCTCTTGAAGCTAGTGGTGGGCAGCTTGCAGGGAGAGGACTGCTGTGAGGCCGTGCAGCACCTGAGGGTCAGCACGGACCTGCCGGAGCAGCGCCTGGGCACTCTGCTGGCTGGTCTGCACGCCCTGCTCCGGCAGGCCCTCCGACTGCCTCCCACCAGCCTGACACCGGACACCTTCAGGAACCAGCTGCAGGAGCTCTGCATCCCCCAGGATTTGGTGGTGGACTTGGCCAGTGTGCTGTTTGGGAGCCAGCGTCCCCTCCTCGACTCCACAGCCAGGCGCCAGGCGGCCCGGCTGCCCCACGTGGCTGACGTGCGGTGGCGGGTGGATGTGGCCATCTCCACCAGCGCCCTGACGCGCTCCCTGCAGCCTAGCGTGCTAATGCAGCTGACGCTGTCAGATGGGTCGGCTCACCGCCTTGAGGTGCCCACAGCCAAGTTCCAGGAACTCCGGTACAGTGTGGCCCTGGTGCTGAAGGAGCTGGCAGAGCTGGAGAAGCGGTGTGAGCGCCGGCTGCAGGACTGACCAGTGTCCGCCCCTGCCCTCAGGCCTTCTGCGGCCCCGGGTGAGAGTGTTTTGAATGTGGTTGCGTCTGTTTAACTGAAAAGCAGCTGTGCCTTTCAGGGCTCTTTCTTGGAAGTAAAGCAACTGCAGACATGACGTCCTGGTGGGGTGTGTGTCCGTCCCCACCCCCTTCTCGCCTGTGGTCTCACTGCTAGTCCAGGGCCCCGCGAGGGCCTCAGTGCAGATGCCCTTCAGCTGCCGGGAGCTCCATGTTAGCTCCGGCCCCTTGCTGCGTGGTCATCTGGCCTCACCGAGGCAACGTGGCAGCAGGACGGGGGCCCGGGTGCAGCCGTGAGGGGCTGGTGGCTGATGCAGATGAAGCTGGGTCTGGGGGACAGGCTGTCACTTAGCTGGGTCGTGGGTGGCTTCTTTGGGGAGGTGGCACCTGAGCAGACTTGACGGAGGCAGAGGGCTCAGGCCCCGCGGCTGTACCATGGGCTGAGGGGCACATGAAGACCCCTCACTGCACCTCAGGGCCTGTGCGAGCACCTGGGGGACGCTGAGCAAAGGGAGCGGCATCTGGCAGGGTGTGAGGGGCCTGCAGGGTCTGAGTGAGAGAGCCGGGTGGGGCTGGGTGCAGTGGGTGCACCCAGCAGGGGCCTCAGGGCCTCCTCCACACACCGGTGCTTTCAGGATGTTCCCAGACCCCTCTGGCCTCATCTCTGCCTGGAACCATGTCATATCTGAGGCAAATACCAGAGCTGTGGGCAGGATCTTCCTCTGGGCAGGTGGCCTGGGTGCCTGGCTGGCACCCACTGTGCCAGTTTGGGATCCCCAGCGCCCCACTCAGTACAGCAATGGCTCAGAAGCACAGCAGCCCCAGGAGAGGGGGCGGGGGGGCGGGCAGGCAGAGCCTCACACTCCACTCCTCTCCCCTGAATGGTGGCTGGGCTTGGGGTTGGGTGTCTCTGCTGCCGCTGGGTGGACACATCGGGTCTGCCCAGTCCGCACCAGCCTCGGGCTTCTACCTGTTTGTTGGAACCGTGAGACCATTCTAAGGTGCATTGGAAAACTCCAAGATACCATAAGGCACTGGGACCTGCACCCTCTCACCGTGTCCTCACCTGGGGCTGCCCCTGCGGGTCCTTCATGGAGGTTGCACCTTCACCACCCCATCACTCCACACACCTTGGGCACCAGGACAAAAATGGGGCCCTGGGGGAGCACAGACATTAGGGCCCAGAGGAATGTGCTGTTCCAGCGTGTTGCCTGTCAGGACGACCCTGGCGTCGACTGGCTATGGAGCTGCTCAGCCGGGGTGCCGGTCTGCTTGCCACAGGCCCCCCTGCCGGCCCAAACCCACTTTCTGGCGGTGCCCTGGGTGCAGCGGCAGACCTGACCTGGCTGTGGCCATGTGGCCCTTTTAGGCTTGTGGACCCTGCAGAGGGTGAGCACACCCACTTAGGGTCACCACAGTGAAATCTGACCAGTGTGGGTAGAAGTGGGTGTGAGTGCACCCAGACCCGCAGTGCAGGGGCCCTGGTGACTGGGATCACGCTGCTGGGGGGCTACAGAAGTGCCCTCCACTGCCTGCAGTGGGAGCGGCCCCGCCCGCAGACCTAGGTGTACCCCGTACCCCAGGGTGTTGTGGCGCCTGCCTACCTGCCTCCCAGGATCCTGCAAGGTGCAGCCAGCTGCTGACCACGCGGTGCTCTCCACCGTGTCCTGGAGCCACCGCCACCGTGAGCAGCAGGTGGGAGGCGTCCCCCACAAGGACGGGCTCCTCAGCCGTGTAGGGTTCCAGCCTAGTAGGTCTGTCCCATGGGCAGGGTCTGGGGACTCTGAACCACCAGCCACTTCTGCCCCATCACCACCCTTGCCGACCTGGGCTCTGCAGCCCAATGCTCTGGTCACTCAAGGTGTCCACATTGCTGGGCGGGGTGGTGAGGAGGCTGGTCAGTGGGCTGGCCGCCTTCTTCCTGAGTTGGCACTGGGATGTGTGGCCGGTGGCTGGGGGCAGGCGGGACTGACTGAGCAGGACTCCTGGTGTGGGGCAGGCAGCAGGGAGGGAGGGCTCATCCACGAGGCCCAGAGTCAACCATGAGCCTCCCGTCGCGCTGCCCCGGCCACTCAGGGAAGCCCCTCCGGGTCTGGACCTCAAGAGGCAGGCAGTGGCCCTGGAGGTGGGAACCACAGGCCCCAGACAGTGCTGATCCAGTGCCAGAATTCAACAAATAATCTGATCAGCGAGATAAAAGTAACTTCAGGCTGAAATTATGGATTTAATTTATTTTCTCCACAAAAGTAATCCAAGTATGTAAAAATCTACACTGAAGAGTCCTGCAAATTCTTTCCTAAAATCTTTTTATGCACACAAGAATTGGGGTCAGAGGTGCCGGTGTGAGAAGACGCCCCAGAGACAGTGGGAAGAACAGGCGGGTCCACTGAAATCCACCGCTGAGGGGCAGAGACAGGAGGGGTCTGCTGCTCCCTGTGGGTCACTCCTTGGCCGGGGATGGATTTAGGCCACAGGGGCAGCTTCATAGTGCTGACTGCCCCCTGCCCCCAGGGTGCCCTAGAGTCCTGAAAACTCTTGCATGTTGTTATTTACTGAAGCCAAGATCGGGAATCACAGCTTGAAAGTAGAACAGAATTTTCTAGAACTCACCCCCCCACCCCCGCCACAGACACCCCCTATCACAGTCCTCAGCGCTGGAACCCCAGGGCTCAAGATGGCGCCTCCTTCAGACCAGGAGTCTTGGTCTCTGTTGGCTTCTGTTGCCCTGGAGCACTGAGGTGAAGCAACTGCTGTTGAACAGAGGAGCAAAAGGCCCAGGCCCCATGGGCAGGCCACGCGGCCACAGTGTCCAGCCCCGTTGGGCGTACCAGGGTGCCATTTCTAGTGTCTCTATGTCACAGATGGTCTTCTGTCCCCAAATGCTGACATGTTATTTTTGGCTCTTGCAACTGCTGAAGGACAAACAGCTGCTTCAACATAAATTTACGTGAGCAAACATCAATCTCAGTAACTGGGAGTATCCAGGCAATGGGGCCAGGAGTGCTGTAGACAGTGCTGAGCAGCAAGACGAGGCTGCAGCTGTGCAGTCCCCTCATCCGGGGAGCCCCTCCTTGGCTGTGGTATCTCGTGCTCAGGGGTACGTGCTGCCTCAGGAGTTGGCATGCAGGCAAGAGGCACCTTGTCTGCCCCCTGGGCAGAGGGGAGCCCCAGGTCCAGGCACTGGCCCGACCTCCCCTTTCTGCCACCAGAGGCAGCATTTGGCCTTGGGATGGCATGATGACCATGTGGCCATCCACGTGGGCTGGGTCCTCTGGAGGCCCTTTCAGTGCCCAGCAGCCTCAGCTGCCAATGGAGCTGGGAAGGGTGGCGTTTGCGCTGGGACCTGGGCCGTGTCCAACCTCTATGTCCACTGTGGAGCCTCAAATACTCCACAGCTCGTTATCCTGTGCATGCCCCACAGCACGGCAGGCCCTGCAGCACAAGGTCTGGCATGCCGTCCACACGCTCTGGCCCACGGTCCCGGTGCCCTGCAAGCCCAGCCTTCCCAGAGCAGATGGGGCCCAGGCCATGCAGGAAGGTGGGCTATAGTGACTCCACCCACCCTGGCTTGATCCCAGCAGGAAATGGTGAACCCAGAAGGTTCCACCAAACCCCGAAGGGATCTGAGGCCCCCCTGTGCTGCCTTACCTAGGGGGTTGGGGGGGGGTCTCTGGCCCAAGCACTGTGGCAAGGACACCAAGACCAGCTGGTGGGGCTGCTGCTGGGCCCTCTGCCTTGGAGCCCGTTTGCAAGTGGGAGGCAGGCCCTTGGGCGGGGGAGGTAGACACTGCTGCTCACAGGCTGTGGTTATTGCTGAGATGAGGGGTGTGGGCCCAACCTGCTGTCCAGGCAGTCCACCTGTGAGAACTCCAGGTCAGCGCCTGCCTCACACACCGGCCAGTAGTAATTCTCACCAGAAGTGGCCAGACATGCCTGGATGTGGGAAGGCTGTGGCAGCCACCCCATCCTGTGCTGCTCCGTGAAGGGCCTGAGTGCCTCCTGCTGCCAGCCTGTCTGCACGCACCCACAGGCTCCTCACGAGAGGTGTACTGGCAGCAACACCAAGACCTGCCCACAGGCCAGGGACCTGGCAGCCTGTGTGACAATAGCAGTGGCTGAGCCTGGCCCGTGGTGGCGACGCAAGCCTGTACCTTCCTGGAGGGTCATGGCCAGCCCCCTGGCCGTGGGTCTGTGCTGTCCAGGTGTAACCAAGGAGCCCCATGCACAGCTGGACTCTCTTTGACTGCCATGTGACACTCAGAATTGCAAACAGGCTCTGAACTGCAGGGAGTGACCTCCCAGGGTGGCCAGGCCAGCATTGTAGCCAGAGCATCTGCAGGGATCTGTGCCCACTCAACAAAAGGCAGACTGACCAACCTCTCCCGAGGGGGGCTGGTGGCCATGCCCCTGATGAGGCACATTAGGTTAAGGTTTTGGGCCCCACCTCCCCTTAACTTGTGCCAACTTGAGCTAACAGGAGCCTCACTGTGGAGGCTGGTGCTCCAGGGAAACCAACCCGGCCCTGCGAGCCTGGCCTGCACGGAGCTAGGGCTTCTGGCCGCCCCTCTGCAGCCCTGGGCCACCCTCTGAGGACTCAGCACCCTGTACACGTGCCCCAGAAGTGAGGGATATGGGTTTGATGGGTTGTGACATGGTCACGTCCCAGCAAATACAGGGAATGTGGAAGGGCTTGGTCTCAGGAGAGCTTCTCCATCTCCTCGACATTCTCATCATTTCATTACAAATGAGCCCATGTGAAGTGTAAGTTAAGGCTGTGGGTTTATTCACATTTATCTTACAGAGGTGAACAATCTACCCCATGTGAATTTTCTGATGCTGAGTCAGCCTTGAGCTCCGATTAAAAGCTTTGCCACATTCATTACACTTGTAAGGTTTCTCTCCAGTGTGGATCCGCTGATGTATGATCAGATGCGAGCGCCACCGGAATATCTTCTCACATTCGCTACACTTGTGCAGCTTCTTCACTGTACTCACTTTCCTGCGGCTAACGTGCGTGGGGCCTTCCAGGGTATTCCCATACTCGTGGCACCACTGGGCCCTGGTGTGGATTCTCTGGTGCTCAATGAGATAGGAACTCCGGCTAAAGGCCTTCCCACACTCACTGCACCCATAGGGCTTGACTCCGGCATGGATTATCTGGTGCTGGAAAAGGGTCGAGTTCTGACTGAAGGCTTTCCCGCATTCGCTGCATTTATAGGGTCTCTCCCCAGTGTGGACCCGCTGATGAATGGTGAGCTGTGTGCTCATGCTGAAGGCTTTCCCACACTCTAGGCACTCGTAAGGCTTCTCCCCCTTATGGATTCTCTGATGGTAAATGAGACTGGAGCTCTGGCTGAAGGCCTTTCCACAGTCACTGCATTCATAGGGCTTCTCTCCTGTGTGAATTCTCTGATGCTGAATTAGATGCGAGCCCTGGACAAAGCCTTTCCCACACTCCTCACATTTAAATGGCTTCTCTCCCGTGTGAGTTCTCTGGTGGCGAATAAGCCGTGAACTACAACCAAAGGCTTTTGCACACTTGTTGCACTTATAAGGCTTCTCTCCTGTGTGAGTCAGCTGATGCTGACTAAGGCGAGAGACCCACCTAAATGCCTTCCCGCACTCATCACACTTGAAGGGCTTCTCTGCATTGAGGGTCCGCTGATGTGCAGGGAGGCTGGGACCATCTGGGGTTCTGGGGACTTGAGGTCTCTCCCCAGCATGCATCCGCTGGTGCTGAGCAAGGGTGGAGCTCTGGCTGAAGGCCTTCCCACACTCCTTGCAGGGGTAGGGCCTCTCTCCAGTGTGAGTCCTCTGGTGTCTGACCAACTGGGACTGCTGGCTGAAGGCTTTCCCACACTCGAGGCAGCCGTAGGGCCGCTCTCCTGTGTGCACTCTTTGATGGTGGATGAGGCTGGAGCTCTGACCAAAAGCTTTCCCACACTCCTCACACCTGTAGGGCTTCTCTCCAGTGTGAATTCTTTGATGCTGAATAAGTTTTGAGCTCAAACGAAAGGCCTTTCCACATTCAACACACTTGAATGGCTTCTCTCCAGTGTGGATCCGCTGGTGCTGATTCAGCTGTGAGCACAGCCTAAAGACTTTTCCACACTCCTCACATACATATGGCTTCTCTCCATGGCAGCGACTCTGACCTTTCCCCTGGAAGCAATCAGGAAACTTACCCCAGCACTCCTGACACCTGTTAGCTTTCTTCTCTGTGTTAACTTCCTGATGTAGAGCAGTATCTGAAGATCTGAAACTCCGGCCACACATGTCACATCTGGGGGACACTCCCTCTATGGCACCTTCCTGAGCCCTCTCAGACCAGCCACCCTGCCTGTCCCCTCCCCAGGCATCCTCCTTGGCGCAGGTCTTCCAAGGTGTCATGGTGCCAGTACTCAGGTGGTTACTCTGGAGGAGAGAGGTCATCACCTTCAGCCTAGGGCTGCCTGGCTGGTGCTCTGACCAGTCCTCAGAATCACAGGTGCTGCCAAAGCCAGGGCTCTGAGCAGGACCCTGCGGAGGGGTGCTGACCATGGCCACACAGGGCTCCAACGTGAGGCTGTGCACATCCTCAAAGACCTGCTTGTTAGCCGTCCTGGTTGCAGAACCTGAAACAGGACACAAAAGTGCTCTTTATCCCCTTCACCAAGAGAAGGCAAAGAGGGTGGGAATGTGTGCCACCAGGTCACCCCTGGGGACTGGGCACCATCCAGGACAGGCTGCAAGAGCACAGGCATGCCCATTCTCAAACACGGTTCGCCTCGCCCTTTTGCCCCTCGCACGCAAGGACCATGGGCCTGGCAGTGCTCAGACTACCCTGTGAAGTGTACATGGCAGCAGAGAGGGGATGGAGTGAGGGAAACCCGCATGGAAGTGAGTCTGAGGGGGTGGGAAGCTCCTGGGAGGCTGGACATGGGAGTGGAGGAAAAACTGGACTTAAAACTAAGTGGGGAACGAGCACGTAACGAGGAAGAAGAGGCGGAAGCGCTGTGTGGGGCGTACAGGGGAGAAGCCAGAATGTTCACCGAGGACAGAGAGGGACCCCAGGCCAAACTTCAGCCTCATCCCTGCTGGCCTGCCCCTCAGCTTCCAGCCAGCTGTCACTGGCTCACATCATCGGTTTCCCCCTCAGGGGTGGGTTTCCAGTCTACCTACACTGCCTCCATCCTGAAGCCTCCCAACGTTAATCTTCCAGACAGACTTTGCAAATATGCTTCTCTAGACCCCAGAAGGCATGGGTCACATGCCATGGGGCCATGGTCACATCCTGCTTCATAACTAGTCACAACCAGCATTGTAACCAGCCCAGTTCTCCTCCAAGCTGCACCTGGGGGCAGAGCTTGGCTCCAGCCACACGTGGCGGGTGGCCACTGGGTATGCACGAGCCGCAGGCGCTGCACCTCCACCACGCAGAAGCTGATTCCTGACAGACGGTTCTCCCTGACAGCATGAGACCAGTGGCGGAACAGCCAGCCCACAGGACGGCCACGGCCCAGAGGCCAGACGACTCACACAGCTCGCGAGAGGCGCTAGGTGCGCCCCGCCAATGCACACCCTCCCAGCCTTGCCAGAGCCCGAGACAGTTTCCCACCTGGCCATTAACCTAGGAACCCGCTCCTGCGATGGGTCAGGGCAGCTGACAGGGTGCTAGCTGTCCTGCTCTGCAGGGCCTCACGCTATAGGCACAAGCTTGCCCTCCCACCCTGCCGACGGAACACGAGTCCAAGCATAGTGTGGACGCCAGCACGGCCCCGCAGGCATGGGCAGGCCTCCTGCCACCTGTGAGACCGCACACCTGGGAGGCTGAGTGGCCACTGCCAGGGTCACTCGACAAGCGCTCACTTCCCTACAAGCCCTGCCTTACCCCAGTGCCCCCCAGGCCTTGTCCAGGCTGCCGTGTCCAGCAGAGCTGGCTGCACAATCCCCCTCAGGCCCCGGCACAGTGTTCCTAGAACACAACAGGGAGGACCCATGGAGAGAGGCGGGGGGATTCAGGTCCAGGTCTGTGCTTCCCTTGGTTCGCACGTCTGTACTTTACTCAACGAAGACGACAGTGACACCAGCAAGGAAACAAAAACTGGCTCAAAACGAGTAACGGGCTTCCCTGGTGGCACAGGGGTTACAGTGCAGCACTGTGAGGCTGTCCCAGCCACTGCAGCCTGAGGTCCATCCCCAGCCAATGAGTGACCCTCAGGGAACTGCTGACCTCTCCTGTCTCCCCGCTTCCCCCTCAGCAGTGGGTTTCAGGAGATCCACATGCTCTGCTCCCCACTGTGTCTCTGGGGAGTCCTCTCACCACCCCCCACACCTCTGGCCTACACCCCAGTTCTTGTGCGCTTAGTAAATAAATACGCCTTAAAAAAAAAATCTAATAGCATTTTTGCCAACATGCACCAGTGTTTTCTGCCACGCGAGGCGGCCTGGCAGCTGTCTGAGCAGCCACCAATGGGCCCCCTAGCCCCACTGTCCCCAGGTTGCTCACTGGCCTGTGTGCCCCTGGGGCCTGCCTGCAGGCTCCCACCCTCGAAGCCCTTGCTGGGCATGGCTACTCTGAACCCCACCCCACTCCTGCGCGTGGGCACCATCTGCCACAGCCTGGGTCTTACCTGCCTGGGAGACCACTGGTGCCTCGGACCCCTCCACTCCCTGCAGGTCCAGCACCCACGGCTCCTGCCCCTGCTCCAGTCGGGAGATCAACTCAGGCTTGAAGACCAGGAATCCTGCTGTGTGTGTCGGAGGAGACTGTGTTGGTGCGACTAGAGGCCCAGCACTGACCCCTGAATTTCCAGTAGAGGGCACGGGGTCGTGGGGTCAGACAAGAGCTTCTGCAGGGACCCAGGGGATGTGGAGCTGGGCCTCGCGTGCCGGGCCCAGTCCTGAGGCCCTGCAGACACCCACGCACCAGCGCTGCCTGCCAGGCCCACGGGCCCACACGCCAGGTGAGCATGCTTCCCACCCACCATCAAGGGCTGGCCACACCCTCGAGCGATACTCCCCTTGGGTTCCCGGGAGGACAGAGAAGAGGGCAGGCAGAGGTCAAGGCCTGGGATGGAGTGGACCCCACGCCCTAGAGGAAACCTCGAGTGCCCCAAACACCCAAGGAGTCCAGGCACCAGCGGGAGCATGACGCTGCTCTGTGCCCTTCCGGGGCCAGCAGCCATGAAATGAGCGGTGACCGCATCCACCCAGTGAAACCAGGGGATGTGAACGTCACACGCCACAGAGACGAGATCGCAGAGCACAGGAAAGTAAAGGTGGGAACCGCCGTCACGACGAGCCAAGAAGAGGGAGGTGATGGGGGCCGCAGGTCCACAAGGACGTTTTGTGACACACAGCACCTCGGATCCCACACCCTCCATCAAGCGGAAACACAGGCTTTCGGCCACGGGGCCAGCGGCCCCAGCAGCAAAGGGGTCCTGGCTCTGAGCACACAGCCCGCGAAGAAGCACAGCTTCTGGAGCCTGTGGGGAGTGAGGAGCCCCAGGGCGGCCGGGTGTGGAATCCAGAGAGCGGGTCCTGGCACGGCGGCAGATGCCTGCTCCGTGTCCGGCTGCCCCAGCCGCAGCCAGACCCCTCACGGGCCCAGGGTGCTTGGGACCTGCAGGCTAGGGCCCACGCACATCCTGAGGGGCGCACATCAGTGACAGACCATCTCTGAGAACAGGCGCCCAGGGGGCCAGGGGCCGGCAGGGCTGGAGGGACAGAGGGCACCCCGGCATCGCCCCGGAGCTGCCACCACTTCTGCCTCGAAGCCCAGGGGCCTCAGTTTGTCGTCCAAGTTCAGCTCTGCCACATGTGAGCCCAAAGGTCATCTGCCCGCGAGGGCTGGGTCACGTGACAGTCCAAAACTTGAAGCTCACCGGGGTTGCTGTGACCCCTCCTGGGCGCAGATCCTGCCCTCAAAGGCTGACAAGCCCAAGGACTGTCCAGCCGGGGGTCTGGCCACGTGACCCCCATACCCCAGCCAGAGTGGCCTGGACGGGCGGGTGCAGGGACAGGAGGGGCAGGCTCACCTAGGCCCGCCACACTGCTGTGGTTCTCCAGCATCACCTCCTTGTAGAGTGCCCTCTGGCCGGGGTCCAGACACTGCCACTCCTCCCTCGAGAAGTGCACGGCCACATCACCAAAGGTCACGGCCTCCTGAAAGCACACACAGGGCAACCCAGGGCCCTGAGTGCCCGGCCATGGCGGCCCCAGCTCAGGGCAGGTGTCAGGCGCAAGCTGGGCTGTAATGGGGGCAGGGACCCGGACCCGGGACGACCCCCCCGCCGGGAGAGGGGGCTGTCAGGCCCTACCATGAGGCGCGCGGCTCGATGTCCACAGTCTGGCCTGGGCAGGGACCTGCAGGCGGACAGGGTCAGAGGTCAGGGTGCTGGGGCCGGCTTCCAGGAGCCGGCGGCGCTTGCTGGGCCGTCAGCGCCTCGCGCGCCCAGCACCAGCCTCCCGGCATCCTGGTCGCCTCTCGGCGCAGCGTGCGGGGCCCCCTTCGCGAGGATTCTGGGG